AGGCTGGAGCGTTGCACTCCGAGCTGACGCGGGGAAGCCCAAAGGGAGCAGTTGTTCGTTAGGGACTTCGTGGCTTACACAAAGGGTTTGACTTCCACAGGAGTTGAAGGTATCTCAAACCAGACAGATGTGACACAAGGGTTATGAAGTCTTCTCTGCATGCTGTTTGGGGCTTTTTGCTTCGCTTTTTTAGATGTCGGGCCATCATCATCATCATCATCACCATCATCATCATCATCATCATCATCATGACATTTGTTTTTATCCGCCAACTAATTCGCCTTTGTTCACCCTGTCCGATGCGGCAATTGGGTCCTTTCTTACTGCAGGCAAGCAGTTCCGAGCTATGGCCAATGCAACAAGATGAGAGGGTCCGATACATTCCACTGCGGGTTGATGCGGTTTGGGTTTTCGGCATGTGAAATTCGTTGCAGGTCAGAGGAGTTCGGATTTGCGAAGATGCACTATCAATGGTGTTTGTTTCGTGTCACCAAGCGCTTGTCCCGCTGTTTGGGATCGCACGTCTTTACGGTTTGGGTTTATAGTCTAGGCTGTCGAGTGATGGAGCATACAGGGTAAAGGAACCACAGACTCAGGTCCGCAGCCAAGACGGTCCTGGAGGTCGCAAGCCAAATATTTTCTCACAGCGAGTGGGTTCGATGTCAAGATTCTGAAGCTTGGGCTTGTCGCGAAGATCCAGAAGACCTTGTGATAAGCTTCATTCAAGTATGATGAAGTTTCGGAAGCAGCAGCAAGTCCGCAGGGGTTAAACCACGCTGACGGTTCCAACACATTCGAATTACAGTAAGGGATGCTGTGATCCTCAACAACTAAGCTTGGCGCACCGCATCCGAGACTCAGTTTGCTAGCCATAGCTGAAGCGGTCTCCCGCTCTCTTATTTAGATCTTGCGATCCCTAGTTCTTCGAAGTGCCGTTCAAGTATACCGGCATTTGGTCAGGGGTGCACCTCCCATCCCTCACAGCCCAAGTGACTCCAAAACTAGCGAGGAGATGGGCCTGGTTGGTCACCCAGAGCATGTGCAAGCCGTACATCGGCTGCTACTCGGCGAGTGAAAGTATACAAAGACTAAAGCTGAAGCCGGCAAGGGAAGCAAGGACCAATCGATATCTCAGCGAGAGCGGAGGCGATGGAAGCTCGCCTCTAAAGCGAGGCGTAGCGGCGTAGCGGTAGGGTCCTTGAGGTCACGGTCTCTGCAAAAAAACCCGGCGCCCATGGAAGTCTTCAGCAGCGAAGCTGATATCAGCATCAATCAGGCGAAGTCTGGGAGTCTGGAAGATTGGTATAGCAAGCCCCCAATCAACCACACCCACGAAGCCTCATGAAAAAGTGCTGAACCCAAACCTCCAACCGCCCAGCCCAAGCCTCTGCAACTCCCAACCTCCCAACCTAGAAGCGATCCCCTCCGAGTTGAAAAGCCAAGGAACCTTTGGGTGAACCTCTGCCACTCAGAGACGGATCTAGTGGTTGGTGCTCCGTCCCTCCGGCACAAGATCTTTAAACAGATTGAAGATCAAGGTGGATTCTGAAGAATTGGGGTTTGGTTAGAAAACATATAGTAATAATACACCAAATGTATGTCTGTATGTCTGTATGTCTGTATGTCTGTATATGTATGTATGTATGTATGTATGTATGTATGTATGTATGTATGTATGTATGTATATATGTATGTATGTATGTATGTATGTATATACGCATGTATGTAGATAGAGATATCACTTTTGCACACACACACATGTGTATACACATACAGTCTTGACCTCACTAAGGGGTCTTTGCAATGTAAGGATTCTACATTCGAGGGTTCGACACGGTGGAAGGTTTCCAGGTGGTGGGTTGAGGAATTGGTGTTCAGGGGGATTCAGCCAGGCTTCGTAGGACACTGCGAGGCGCAAGCCAAGGTGTACGATCTGCCTGAAAAACAGAAAGTCGGCACACCTCCATCCGCCCTAAGCAAAACTCGGGTTTTGACCCTCTGCCCGAGACACGCCGGAATTTGCATTGCACCAAGCAGAGATCCACACAAGCGAGAAGGAGAGCCAGCATGTCAGACAATGAGGAAGCAGTATATCTTGAATCCTGATGCCTGCTGAGAGAGCATGCCAGGTCGACGCGCGCTGTCGGGTCCTTGGATTTCGGTTCTTTTCCGGCGTAGTCTGCTTCGCACAATTGAGTTCGCTTTTTGATCGTGCATTTCAGCCTGCACTAGATACTGCGCTGAGGTGCTCGTGCTGGGTGCAACTGCAGTGACTTGGCCAAAGCGGAATCAGGGGGCAGGCAGCGGCAGGGCATGGAAACACAAGCTGCTCAACCTGCAGCGCCTTAATGGGGTTCAGCTTGCACTGTTCCCTTCACGCCTAGGTTGGCAAGTCTACTTGCGTCGATGCCCTGGCGAAGCTCCCTCCAAAGGCTCGGGCAGCGAGAGGGAACCTAGAGGCAAAACTGCACAGGTTTGACAGACATGGTCTCGCAAAGCCTTCGCCAAGCTAGCAGGAACGAGCAAGTTTGAAGTGTAGAGCTAAAGTGCCCTTGTTTTGAATGCGAGACACTGTTCTGGAAAGGTCGTGTTGGGCATGGATAGGGATCTGCACGGCCCTTCCTGCAAAATCAGAGAAGAGATTCCGGGATAGGAAGAATGGCACCGAGAGTAGAAAGACCACAGTAGTGTCAGTAGTGGTGATGAAAGATCGTAGAGTTCTTTTTGATAGTGACCTTAGTTCTCTATGTTCAGAAGTTTACACTATTTACATAAATTATATATGCCCTAGCTGACACTGTCATTATGACGCTGGCTCTGGCACTCAGGACGGAGAGCAGCCCTGGGAGGCCTCGGACCCCAATGAGTTGGGAGGTTCACGTCACTTCGGATTCAGGCTGGGACGTCCAGAGGCGCAGGTCCTTGTCCGCAATGCTTGGCAACCTGGCCAGCTGACACTGATGCAGTCAGTCTTCGTAAGCCGTAAGCCCGATCGATAACCGAAATCGGCGCAATGACCGATGGAGATACGTAGATTTTTTGGAAGTCAGTGTCTCCCCGATTGCATTGATCGCCGCGATTGAAGGTTGAAGGTTTGCTGTTTAGGCTTTCATTGTTTCGCGCCTCGAATCATGATGTTCAGTAGTTGTTCACGCGTGCGTGACCTGCCACCTTCAGCCTTCCATCCTGCATCTGAGTCTTCAGAGTTGCCCGAAGTTTCTTCAAGGATCTGCAGCGGTGATCGTAGGCAAAGGCCGCCGCGAGCCGAATGACACACGCACACATGCACATATCACATGCATGTATCTCTGTCTTTCTGTCCCTTCTCTGTCTCTCCTTCTTCTCTCTGTCTATGTATGTATGCGCCGCATATATCATATGGTATTTAGGGGTACCAAGATATAACAGTATGATAGTATGCAAATATAGCGATATGATCATATATGGATATATATATATATATACGCGTAATAATGCATACCTGTAGCAACACTCATGCAGTAATATACAAATTACTACTGTTGTTATTGCTAGTGTGATGGTTATTATCTTTACAGTGCTTACTGTTATGGCTATCGCTACGGCTATTGCTGCTATTGTTGTTCTTGGCGTACGTGTATTATTCTTCTTTTCATTCTTATTGTTATTGTTATGATTATTTCTATCAGTATTCACTATAGTTTTCGCTATTAATACTACTATTCTCACGATATATCATGGCTGTTATTTCTACTTGTACTATAGATTGTATATACAGGTATGCGTATATGGCCACAATTCTTCTTCTTATTCTTATGGTTTTTGTTATGATTATTTATATTAGTATTCACGAGAACACGATATGTCATGGCTGCTATTTCTATTTGTACTACAGGTTGTATATACAGGTATGCGTATATGACCACAATTCTTCTTCTTATTCTTATTGTTATTGTTATGATTATTTAAGTTAGTATTCACTATAATTTTTCTGTTCTCACGATATATCATGGCTGTTATTTCTATTTTGTACTATAGATTGTATATACAGGTATGCGTATATGACCACAATAGTTTTGTGCGCAGTATTGCAACACAACGCCTCAGGGCACTGCAGTTGTACTGTTTACTCATCGCATTCTTCGCCAGCTCCGGCGTGTCAACGCTGCCTCGCTGGCCTTGGACGCCAGTGACTCGCTTCTGCGGCCCGTAGCAGGAGCCGGGAAGTCGCTTCGTGTGGTTTCAAAGATCACTGTCTTTTTTGTTCGGGGGGTCCAGGCTTTGAGGGACAGGCTAGGTCCGGCTAGGTGGCGTACAGCGCTTGACGTGGCCGGCAGATGGGAGAGAAAAACTGAAACTGTCAGCAGATTCCTAGCATCTTTATCGAATCTCGGCTTCCTCATGATCCGCCTCTCTCCGTATGCCCAAACTTAGTCAGTTCTTCTCGATTTTGCTTGTTGCCACCGCTACTACCGCCACCACCACCACCACCAACATCACCACCACC